TCTCCATTGTTGATATACACACGTCTGCTGCTGCCACGGATGTTGCACGCGCTTACGTCATTGTCATGAGACACTCTCACAAACAAAAATCAGGGTTTAGTAACACAGTGTGCTTAGGGGAAAGTAACAGTAATCTAATTACATTTTTTTGCAATAGTAATCCCTTACATTACTCAGTACTTTAAAAAAGTAATCGGATTACAGTAACGCGTTACTGCCCATCTCTGCCTATAGACATGTACTAAATCTGTTCACAAGAGATGATGAGTGTCCACAGTTCAAGGGAGGGGATTATTTCCTAAAATACCAATTCTTTTCATCTTCAGAATGGTTTTGATGGTGAATTAACGCTTAATGTGGAGTAATGCTGGTTCGTATACTCACAAGGAAGCCGATGTAAATCTCTCCCTTTGATTCGCCCACCAGCCACACGCTTTTCTTATCATTGTGGATCACGCAGTGAAATTCAACTTCATAGTGCCAACTGATAACAAGAGACAACCCACATTTAGAGTTACCAAAAACAAGCAACAAGGAATCCATCAAAGAGCTGTTGAACTAGATTTTGGTCATGCAAATATCAAATAAGCATTTTGATCCAAGGTCTGCTACAGTTTGAGGAAAGAAGCTAAAACAGCTTGTTTTAGAATGTAGTCCAGTATGAGAGGATTATTATGCTGAATGGCTGATTTAAAAAAAAAGAAAAGAAAAGCATGAAAAATACATTACTTGTTGACTTTATTGTGCCAGCTGCCCTCATTGTTCTTGGGTGCCACATCAAATACTTCTCCAGTTTTGTTCACCCCAAATAAAGCAGTGCAGTAGAAGAGGTGCACCACTGGTTCACTGACTGTGTAGGTGGTTACCTTCACCAAGCTGGAAGCAAGAGACAAAAATTAAAGAATTAGTTAGTGTGAAGACTGAAACTCATAATACCTCATGTGATGTCTCCCTCCACTGCTGATGCACTGAAGCTCAGAATCAGTTAAACTTCACAATCTTAATCAACACAAAACAGCTTTCACGTGCCAGTTTACCACAGCGCTTAGACAGTCATATGATTGTTTTTTTATTAAGCAAACTAGGCAAAATTAGTTATTGTCTTTAACTTTATAGGACTAATGCAGATGCTTGGGCATCTTATGTATTAGCTGTTGGTGTTTACCTTGCTGTGTCATGTTTTTTATTCCACACCAGCTTCCAAACACCAATAAGTTTCACACTCGCCACAGCGATCTGACTATCAGGCATGGAACAGACCGCTGTAATGGAGTCATCAAATACCTGACACACACACACACACACAACACACACACACACACACACACACACACACACACACAACAGAATACGCACACACACAATAACACTGCAACACAAAAAGATGTGCAAAGAACTTGAAAAAAAAAAAAAAAAAAACAAAAAAAAAACAGAGTTAAAAAGAGTTAAAAAAACTATTTTCTTTGTACACTTCTTCACCTGCTTGTGGCCAACCACTGAGTTGTTTTGCCACAACTCGAGCAAACCAGATTCATACCCAGCGAGGAGTAGGTCATCATTTTGACAGAAGCACAGAGCTGTGACCGAGCCTTTCAGGTTTGATGGACTTGCTGTGGAAAAAAGAAGAAACACAGTTTTCATAACAAAATGTGTATAAGGACCCTTAATAACACTATAATTACTTTAAAGATAAGGCTACATAGGGCACCAGTTTAGCTCCCAGCACGTGTTCAGTAGTACTTATTTTATTTTTAGATTTAAAAAATCTTCTTTGATTAATTCAACACTGGGAGATATGAGTATCAATTAGAATTTCTTCAATCTTTTTCACCATCATTCATTTATGTTTTAAAAGGTACAACAAGTTTTTTTGAGGCTTTTTGTTAAATATAAAAAAAGAATATTGTACTCATAAAGACACATTGATTTGTGCGTAATTGCATCTGAAACCAAAATGATGCACTCTCGTAAACTTTAAATGCAGTCATTATAAGTACATATATTTGTGTGCTGGATTGTGGGCACACCATTTTGAACACAATGACCGAGATGGACATCGCAGCTAATTGGTTCAAGATTTCCTGAAATGAAGTCTGGGCTCTAACACAAGAAGACGTGCATAAACATAAAAAGGGTTTTTCTTGAAAGGAAATGAAAATTATAAGGAGTTTTAAAGACATTTTAAGTAGCTAATTTTGCACAATATTGGTGAGAAATTTAATGGGAACATGGAAAGATAATTAAAGACATTAATATTTAACATAATACCTCTCTTTTTGCATCTCTCTATATAACGTCCTCCTTATCAGTGCACAAAAGGGGAGCATTTTAAACATCATTACTCATAACCACTTACAGCTGCAAAAGGCCACATAATAATGCGTCGTTAACCAATTTTCAAATGTTCATTACCTAATTGCAGATGATAAATATTGACTTTTTAATACAGTAAAAATAAATAAATAACGAGAGTTAAATCCATTTTTAAATTTGAGATGTTTCTACTGGCTTACTGTGCCAATTTATGGAACATAAGCTGAAGCCAAACAGCTGGTACTAAAATAAGAAAAATGAGAGATTTGTAGCTCCCTAAAAGTTGATTTTATTCATCTGGACGTAGCGTTTTCAGTGAGAGAAACGTTTCGTCACTCATCCAAGTGACTTCTTCAGTCTCAGCTGACTGCAGGTTTCCCCAATCTTATAAACAGTACATTTGCACAGTGACTGAAACTAGCACCACTGAAGGAACAATAGGTTGGGAGATTGGTTCCTTGATCATGCAAATTGTCATGACGATTGATCAACAACCACTGATCAAAGACCACTGATCAATAGCCATGAGTACCATTCACAGAGAGTTGGGGTTTAAAAGCCACAGAGACACTGTGTTTAACTGTTCCAATACTCCTGACACATACGGGATCACTACGGGTTTTTGCTGAGCTTTCTTTAGGTGCCTTCCCAGCAGATTTGTAGACACTTGTGAGTTGATAATTATGATTTGTATCATTTATATAAATGATAAAAAAATAAAAGTCTCAATTTAAACCAATTTTTTTTTTTACCTCTTGCCCATGTCCAGCATCGCAGCGAGCGGTCTTCAGAAACAGTGAAGAATTGTGGGACCCTTTCCTTGCAAACGACTCCATGAATCGCACCGCTGTGACCGCGAAAGGTGCTAAAGTGCTCCACCTGGAAATAAACCGACATATCTAGTCAGTGAGAAAATACATCTGAAGAAGCAGCAGGGCACTTTAAAAATTCAGAGGATTTTTTTTTATTTGTTTGAGAGACCTGTAAGGGTTTCCAAAATTTCACTGTGCCATCATCAGACGCTGTGAAAACGGACATTTCTTCTGACTTCACTTCCTTCCCTTTGTCTTAAAAACAAAGAGTGGGCTTAGAAATATCAAATATTAATTTCAGAATATGCAGTATTAACTCAATACAGCGTACTAAATGATGGAAAGAGGAGGAGACTATGTGTGTAATCACTTCCCAGCATGTTTTCTCAGGAATGGTACCTGTATTTGGGAGGAGAGAGCAGTGGTGTATGCGTCTCATGTGAGCAGAAATATGGCAGATTTCAGTGTTTGTTTCCCACTTCCAGACATGCAGTGCCCCCTCTGCACAGCTGGCTATCACATATTGTCCCTGCCCACAGAAAACACGACAGAGCAGGTCAACAAAGAAAATAATTTATAAAACCAAAGAAAAAGACAATTTTGTGCTATAGTTAAACAGTTCTTTACATTGTACACAATATAGAGAGCTTATTTACTTAAAGCTGCATAAGTGACTCACCAGACAGCAGACAGAGGTAAGTGGACTTGTCCAGGAGATTTCCCTCAGACACTGCCCAGCCTGAAGGTCCCACAAACAAAGTCTGCAGTCATTTGAAGAGCTTAACTGGAACAAAAACAAAAAACACATTTTTGAAAGCACTTGTATGTTACTTAGATGTAATTATCAAATATGCGTGTCTGTGCATTGCTCCCAAGCTTGCTAGCCCTAGCCCTAGCTGACAAATTAACACTCCATCTTCTTAGCCAAATGTGGACACTTTAGGCTCCAAAAAAAAAAAAAAAAAAAAAAAAAAAAAAAAATTAGTTTAAAAAAAAAAAAAAAAAAAAAAAACAAAGAAAACAGGTGTGAGACATTTTAGCACCAATGACACTAAACAGGGGAGAAAATTTTCAAAGCACCACTCAAAACCCCGACAAGGATCAGGCAAAGGCCACTATTTGTATTTTTCTTTCCACTGGCCTACAATAACTGTGATTGTAGTAAAGGACAAAGGACGCTTGTTTGGTTGGTCTCGACATGCCTCCATCCCCATTTTAATATAACATCACAGCTTTGTATATATAATTAATTTGATCTCTTGGCTGTGGACCACAGATCCCACTTTCAGAACCACTGCTTTATGACACAAACAAAATATGAAAAGAAAAAAAAAAGAAAAAGAAGACCGACCACACAGTCTGGAGTCCAAACGCAGCCTGTGACCCAGTCTCGGTGAGCATGAGGCAGAGTCTTAGAACGAACAGCAGGAGCAGTCACATCCCACACCATCAGAGCCTGAAACAATCAAATGTTTATGATAACAGATGAAGAGAAAACCAATGTAGCTCTCTCCAGAGGTAGAATATAACAAGTGCATTTAATCAGCTACTGTTAGTGTTTATGTTTTATGTGCTTTATTTTTCTGCATCCCACACTGAAACACTACACTTTCCCCACCAGAGTAGTTCCATGTCCATTGCCAGTCTTGGCAGCCGGGGATCAGTCCGCCAGGGCCTCCGCTCCTGGCCGCCGCCCGGCACACAATGCACCCGACCCCTATGGCGCCTCCTGCGGGTGGTGGGCCTGCGGGAGGATGGGCCCATGTCCCCTTTTCGGGCTGTGCCCGGCCGGGCCCCATGGACTAAGGCCCGGCCACCAGACGCTCGCCCTCGGGCACCCTCCCCAGGCCTGGCTCCAGGGCGGGGCCCCGGTAACCCTATCCCGGGCAGGGTAAACTGTTCCCTCGATGTTTTCATAAGGGTCTTCTGAATCGCTCTTTGTCTGGTCCCTCACCCAGGACCAATTTGCCATGGGAGACCCTACCAGGGGGCAAAAGCCCCCAGACAACATAGCCCCTGGGATCCCTGGGACACACAAACCCCTCCACCACGATAAGGTAGCGATTCAAGGAGGCCCCAGTCCGCGAGATCTTCAACACACACCTCCGGCAGAGCTTCAACAGCATTCCGAGGGAGACTGGGGACATTGAGTCCGAATGGACCATGTTCAGCGTCTCCATTGCCGAAGCTGCTGCATTGAGCTGCGGCCGCAAGGTGGTTGGTGCCTGCCGTGGTGGTAATCCCCGAACCAAATGGTGGACACCAGGCTGAAGAAGGAGTCCTATCGGGCTTGGTTAGCCTGTGGGACTCCGGAGGCAGCCGACAGGTATCGACAGGCCAAGCGGAATGCGGCTCGGGCAGTGGCTGAAGCAAAAACTCGGGTGTGGGAGGAGTTCGGAGAGGCCATGGAAAAAGACTTTCGGACTGCCTCGAAGAGATTCTGGCAAACCGTCAGGCGTCTCAGGAGGGGAAAGCGGTGCTCTACCTGCACTGTGTATAGTGCTGGCGGAGCGCTGCTGACGTCGACTGAGAAAATTGTCAGGCGGTGGAAGGAATACTTCGAGGACCTCCTTAATCCCACTGACACGTCTTCCGAGGAGGAAGCAGAGTCTGGGGATGACCCGCCAATTTCCGGGGGCGAGGTCACTGAGGCAGTTAAACAACTCCTTGGTGGCAGAGCCCCTGGTGTTGATGAGGTCCGCCCCGAGTTCCTGAAGGCTCTGGACGTTGTAGGGCTGTCCTGGTTGACACGCCTCTACAATGTTGCGTGGAGATCAGGGGCAGTACCCCTGGACTGGCAGACCGGGGTGGTGGTCCCCATCTTTAAGAAGGGGGACCGGAGGGTGTGTTCCAACTACAGGGGGATCACACTCCTCAGCCTCCCTGGGAAAGTCTATGCCAGGGTGCTGGAAAGGAGAGTTCGTCCGCTAGTCGAACCTCGGATACAGGAGGAACAATGCGGTTTTTGTCCTGGTCGCGGAACACTGGACCAGCTCTTTATCCTCTCGAGGATACTTGAAGATGCATGGATGGAGTTTTAGTTACCTTATAAGGTAATTTAAGTGTACCAAAAAAATCTTACATGTTCAGTAGGCAGTATCCCTAATCTGAATCTATGAAGCACTGCAACTACATGATATCATTATTAATATTATTATTATTTTATTTTTTTTAAGTAAGAATAACCCAGAATTCATGATTTCACCCTCTCAAATGAGACAACGTTCTCCCTCTCTCATACTGATTTCACAGTTGTAACCTTTTATTGAGGTACTCTCATAAGGTTCATAAGGGGGGGAAGAGTTACAGGTACCTGATCTTTTCCACCAGACAGCAGCTGTGCACCATCTGGACTGAAAGCCAGACACGTGACTCCGCCACTGTGGCCCCTCAGTATTGAATTTGGCTGGATCGGAAGGTCACAGGTCAGATCAGACAATAACCACAGCCCAATGGTGAAGTCATCTAATTCAAAGAGCAACATTGTAAAACATTTTTAGACATAAGTCAAACTAACTGGAACTTGAGGAACTTTTGATAATACCCTGAGAAGAAAGCATAATCACTACCACCAATCACACCTACCTGAAGCTGTCGCCAGGTACGTGAAGTTTTGTGCGAGTGCCTGGATGGTGCCCGATTGCACACCAAACACTCCCACCATTTCCAGGACTTCCGTCATTCCCTCCTCTTCTTGTTTTCTCTTCCACACCCGCAGAAATTTGTCACTTCCTCCAGACACCAGCAGATCGGTGTCGGTCTGCTCTGCTTCTAAAATGACCCACAGCATGCACGGTACAGACACGTCCAGGTCCACGGAGGCCCAAATCTTCTCACCTGAAAAATTAATTTTGGTACAGTTTGTTTCTTTTATAGTGCACACACTTAAAAAGAGCAAGAAAGGAAAAAACCTAGAGGAGATGCTTTGAATTTTAATGCCAGAGATGTCTTTTTTGAGGCGGCAGAGCGGCCCAAGGAGCTCTGAGCACGATGACACACACACACACACACACATACATATAAGCACACGCATACACACACACACACACACACACTTTCTTGTAGTGATTCCATCTGGTAAACATTTTTGAAACATTTGTAGCTCACAACACACCTGATCTGAGGCTGAAAAGTTTGATGCCATCAGCGTGGTATCCCACAGCAACATAGTCTCCATTCACAGCCACACACAGAGCAGCAGGCTGAGACGTTACAGCCTTTAGCTTTTTCAGAGGTGGTTCCTGCATCCACTGAAAAGAAAAAAAATAAAATAAAAAAAAATAACATGAACATGCTGAAATTCATGAATATATGAATGAACAGGTTTTTCCATCAATAGAGCCCCACCTTAACACTTAACATCATCAGTACAAGATCCTTGTAAATGTGCAGCATCATTAAAGTTAAAAGGGGTCCAGCAAAATATTAGAACTTACATCATCACATTTTAATTCAGTGACAGAACGTCCAAGTCCTCCAGACCAGAGGTTGAGCTGTTTGAACAGAAAAAACAGAAATGGGAGGTGGTGATGATTAGCTTTATAATCACTGAAATCTTTGTTTGTGAGAAGATACTGGTGCCTGTTCCTGCACTGACTTTCTCCTGATAACTGCACTATGACTGCTTCAGAGGTGGTGCTTTTTGAGGTCGTTTTTGAGAAAATAAACAGCAGTGTCATATCAGTCATCTCAGATAAATCAGAAAACAACAAAAGGCTATCTCCGAACGTTGATTCTGTTCATCTGGACGTAGAGTTTTCTGAAAACTCTACATCCAGATGAACAGAATCAACGTTCGGAGATTTACTTACCTGGATGATTGAGAATGCATCAAGACGTTTCAGAGAGACTGAGGAGGAGCTTCTTCCCGCAGGCGATACGGTCTCTCAATCACACCACCACACAGTACTGACCCACACATATAGTTCTTACACACACACTGGACTTTCTGGACTTTGTTTTTGCACAACACTGGTCACTATATTCTTCATTTCCGGTTAATACTTGTACAGCTGCTGTTATTGTGTATATATTTATTTATATTTAGATTTCTTCATACATTCTTATATAGTTCTATATTGTGTATTTTGTTGTACAGTTATTTTATTTTCAACCTTAATTTATATTTTATTCCTTCCTAGTTAAATTTACCCTTTTTAATTTTTCATATTTATTTCCTATCTTATTCATAGCCTTTCCTTTTTTTGTTTTCTTTAGGTCACGAGCAGTTGTCCAAGCATTTCACTACATATCGTACTGTGTATGACTGTGTACGTGACAAATAAAATTTGAATTTGAATTTGAATTTAATTTAAACCAAAAGTTATTTTATACAAAACCAAATGGTTATTAAAATAAGCAACATTTGAAGGGAAAAGCAGAAGCTTTATTATGTGCTGACTGATGTCTCACCATGTGATCAGAGCCAGCGCTCAGAAGCATGGATCCTTCCTCCAGGAAGGTGAGGGACTCTGTGGCTTCACAGTGAGCCTGGAAACATCCCACACAGGTGGAGGTGGGCACTGACCACACCCTCACCTCCCCAGACACAGAGCCAGAGCAGAGCATGGAGGAGTAGGGAGAAAAAGAGAGGCTGCGCACTGATCGTGTGTGGCCGCACAGGGACTGATGGAGAGAGAGAGAAACAGTGAGTGCATTATCTGAAGTAGTTCTTCTTTCAGCTGTTCTCTAATAATAATAATAATAATAATAGTAATAATAATAATAATACTTTCAAAAAAGCCCTCTTCTGCTAAAGAACTTAAATTAAAAATAAATCTCAGTTTCAATAGACCACACCCCCTTTTGTAGACACATGTTTTCATTGGTTCCGATATTCCATACTTCAGTTATATTTATGGTCCAATTTTTTTTTCTCCTGTAGATTTTTAGCAGAACTGATTATGTATTTTTAACATACATTCATGGTGAAAATGAAATAACATTGCAACATTCACAGCATTGAGCTCACTGTTAGTTTTTTATTCTTGAGCCAGTTCCACATGATCACATTTCCATTCCAGCAGCCAGCAGCCAGAAGATGACCCTTAGGGTCAAAGGTCACACAGTTCATAGGGCTTCTGCTAAGCACGGAGGACACTTCAGTACCTTTATCAGAAGACCACACCTGAAGAGAAGAAACAGGTTTGATTAATACAGTCGAGGAACAGCGTCAGGCTGTAAACCATAACAAAGCAGCTGCACAAATGACTAACAACACATCCCGGCTTAATCATCACTTTCACCCTCAGGGAGACAGACTAGAGCTAGAGAACAATTTCAACTTCCAATGATTATGAAAAAAAGAAGGCAAAGTTACTTTTTTATGCAACTGTATCTACATAAGGGCTGCTCAACTTTGGCAAAACTCATAATCATAAGTGTTGAACATTATTATACACAGACGCTGGAAAAATAGTGGACATATTCTACCTTTCTGTGAACCTTAATTACAATCTAGCTGATATTGAAGATTATTTCGTTCAATGAACACTCTACAAAACTAAATTACATAACACTGTTTGTTTTTGATCCACATGCGCTGGCATTCCTGAGGTCCTATTTCACATGATACTGAATCAAGACAGAAGTCGAGGCAGAAAAACACAAACATCTTTTTAGTGTTACTTTAATCATGCAGTCGAGGGAAACCGTGGCGAGGTGCTTCTTGTCTGCAGTGACATCACTTCCTGTTATCATATTAGTGTGGCCATCAATAACGTCAGTCCTACAGAAACACAAGTAAAATAACTTTAAAGATTCGGCGCTATATTTGTAAAAAATTTAATCTAAACCTTCCTTTTAACCCTTCTCACACCTGCATCCATTTTCTATGTCCCACACTTCTATTCGCCCATCAAAGGAGGTGGTAGCAAGTCGTAAGTCCTTCAGGAAGACACAGCTCGAGATGCCGTCACAGCTGCTGATCAGAGACTTCACCTCCTGCTCACAGCCAGGAGAAAGTGCATATTAGACATTTTAAAGGCTTCTTATTCTCAGCAAGTGTGACAGCACATTATTTATGTATGAATTTATTTTTGTTTAATCAGGGTAGAAAATGTCTCAGCTAGAAATAAAAACAGCAAACGCATAAAGTTCACATTAATGACAATAAATACCAACTGGAAATTAACTACACACAAACATGGTCAATGAATCCAGTCTGCTACTGATCTCACAAATTCAAAGCATGAATACAAGCTGCTGAGTTGATCCACAACGTTATAAAATGTGTTTAAAACAAACACATTTGTACCTGTCCAGTCTGCGTGTGGATGAAATGTAGAGTTCCCTCGCCAGTACCAACCACCATCATCTGGTCATCCTGGCTCACAACCAGAGAGGTGGGCTCCGAGGGGAAGGTTGAAAGAAGCTCGCTGAGTTCAGGAGTTCAAACGCACAAGAATATCAACACAATAAAACAATATGGACTATATTATCCAACATACACATACATCTTATTTGTTTTGAACTTCTGCTGGTATTACTGATCTCACAAGTACATTTAACATTTCCTATAATATAAGCATATACAATTAACAGTATACACTGCAGAAAAGATGCAGAAAGATTATTTTACTTAAAAAAAAATTAATTAAAAAAAAAAAAAAGCCCCAAAAATATGTACTCTTGGACAACAGGCAAAAAGCCTTTGGGGAAAAAACAAACAAACAAAAAAACAAAAAACAAACTTCAGTTGGTGACCTCTAGTGGTCAGGAGATACCATCAAGTTCTGCAAAGCTACTGCAGAAACATGGTGGTACAACACAATGGACTTTCCGTTCTTTTTAGAGGATTAGACCCCAGTTAACACAGAATTATGAACCTAATCTTCATTTTCTGTATAAAATATATCTGAAAATAGCACATCCCTTTAAAGCAGGGGAAGGGGAACTTCAGGCCTCAAGGGCCGGTGTCCTACAGGTTTTAGATGTGTTCTGTATCCAAGACAGCTGATTTAAATGGCTAAATTACCTCCTCAACATGTCTTGAAGTTCTTCAGAGGCCTGGTAATGAACTAATGATTTGATTCAGGTGTGTTGACCCAGGGTGAGATCTAAATCCTACACGACACTGGCCCTCAAGGCCTGGAGTTCCCCATCCCTGCTTTAAAGTATGACTTCTCCGGGTGAAACTTATTTTTATACTTTTAAGTTCATGTTGGTGCTAAAACCTTTGTCTTAATATATTTTTAAAGTGCTGCATGACCACTTTTATTACAGTAAGAGACATCAAGAACTCTTCTACTGACAATAAAAAAAAAAATCACCTTGAAGGAGAACCTCTTACCTTTTTTCTTCACCATCACTGTTCCCATCAATGTTCAGACACTCAATTACCCGCACTCCTCCTTTGCCCACCATGCCTTTTCCCCAAGTGTGAGCGGGGGTCTCTTGAGGTTCATTGAGGGCCTGCTGAATGAAAAGAGCTGGCCAGGAAGAGAGTGTGGAGGCATGACGCCGCAAGAAATTACGGCAATCCTTTAAATCGTCCTGGATGGAAGCTGAGAGGACAAAAAGAAACTGGAATGAATAAATCAAACACTTGGCAAGGATTTGTGGGTAAAGTACTTTTAAGCACTTACATGATGGTGCAGACTCTTGGTTCTTATCTGCAGAAATTACAGGATATAAATATCAGGAATTTTTGAGGAGTGTAATCTCAAAAAAACACATTTTAAAATATACACAGCTGCACACAGAAGAGATGTAAAAGTTTAAAAGGAAACCCACCTAACAGGCTTCAGAAAGGTACTCACCATACCAGCTGTATGTTTCCAAGAGGTGGTGCAGGAAGCCGTGGCGCACATTAGCATAAAGGAAATAATAGCTGGAAAGCAGGAAAGAAAGTTCCCCCAGTTGTCCACTTTGAATCTAAACAAAGCCAAACAGAAGCAGTGAGAAGTTAAAATCTTCAAGAAATATCAACTGTAGCTATGATTCCCACAAGATTAGGACTTATACAATACAATATATTGTGTTTTATCTGCGGTAATTATAATAAATTACTGTATTGGTTTTTTTGCTGAATTTTATTAATATTCATGTTGCGCAGCATGAATTAATGAAGGAAGATTCCTAACCAGGCTAGAAGGCAGGTGCGTGATAGAGTTGGCTTCACAATGAAGGAAGGTATTTTGGCCCCGAGGGTCAGCTTGTGTCCACAGATGAGCTGTGGGGAAAAAAACCCAAAAAACTCACCAATACATTTACAGCGGTTTACACTCAGTGTACTAAAAGCTAATTATGAGTACTTTACCTGCCAGTGTGAGATGAGCTCTGGTTTTGTCACTTTCTGTGGGGAGAAAAAAGTCCTCAAAGGCTTGCTTCACCTCCGGATTGGTTAAAGCCAGCAGGTCGTCAGTATTGTGGCAATGAGATGGACCAATCAGACTGCAGGAAAAGATTCAAGTGTAATGCTTATTTAAAACTTTGTAATATGGCTTAAAACTCTAAACACACTCGGATCGAAACCTGAGACAAAAACTTAAAGGGAAGAAAAGGGAAAATAAAGGATATTGTTTATTCTTATTAATATCTGAGTTGTAAAGAAAGAGAATGCAAATAATTACATAATAACAATACAGTATTATGAATTATTAAAGGAATCTCAAGAAACCACACAGACCACTGCCTCTTTTTCCATGAACACAACGTAATATGTCATAAAACTTAAATAATATGCTTATATGCTCTGGGCTTATACCTTTGTAAACTCTGCACTATGCGGGTGAAGGTTGCCATAGGAATGCGTCCTTTGGGCTCTCTGGACAACTGCAGCACTTCCTGCCATGTGACTTGTCCATCCCGTAAAGACAAATCATTGCATGTGTTCAACACAGAGTATAAATCTCTCTCCTTCAGGCCTGTGGATGAAAAGGAGGAAATGTTGAGGCAGAGTAGGTCACTTTAGTTTACGCTCACTCCTCAAATCAGACTTCTGGTTAGAAGGAGTGTATAAACATTGATCGAGCTATTATACATATAAGATGAGATTTATTAAAGTTATTATTATTAAAAACAACAACAACAACAACAGCAACAAGTTTTTAAATAAGGTTTCATCTTATTTGAAGTGTTTTCCAAAAGTCTGAGGCAACAACTATAAAAGTTACACTGCATTCAATGTGTATACAGCCAGGAAAAGATTTGTGTTTCTGTGTGTGGACAGAGCCTGTGAAACAGTTTAAGTGTGGAGTTGACGCAGTATCCAAACATAAATGACCTCAAAAAAAGAGGTTATTAGGCGACTAATAAGATAGAAAGAGGAAAATGGTGAATTTCAATGAATGTCTCTGTTTAGTAAGTTACTACTTCATATTTAGTTTACAATTAAATTTCCAAAGGTGGAGGTATTTAACTTTGATGAGTGGAGGTAAAAGTTATGGTGTTGTAAAAACATGATGATACGATAGCAATTTGTATTTTACACCATGTATGTACTCTGTAGGGGTGCAACAATACTCGTATCGATATTGAACCGTTCGATACAGTGCTTTCGGTTCGGTACGCATATGTATCGAACAATACAAAATTTTTAATTTATTTTATCAACTTTCCTTCTGACGATGCTGTCTGTGTTGAGCGCTCAGTGGATCTGCGCTCGACAGTGCAGCCTAGGCGGAGTAGTCGAACGCAGATTCACTGAGCGCAGGGCAAGCTAGCGAGACAGAAGTTAAGCTCTCCTTGCAACATGGCAAATTGAACCTCCCCCACCCTCATTCAGATCTGGCGTTTGGAACTATTTTGGTTTTCATGTGAGGTATGACCCTGAAGGTAAGCGCGTCATGGACTAAAGTAAAACAGTATGTTGGATGTGCCACGCAATGCTCAATTACATGGGTGGGAGCTAGTGTGTTAGCGCAGTTAGCTCGTTAACGTGTTGGCCGTCCAGCCCCATGCACGGGCGATCCGCGGTAGCTCGTTAACGGAGATTTGCCGTGTTGTGGCGTTAACGTCATTTCAACGAGATTTACGCTGACAGCACTAGTGGGAACACAACAAATATGACTGCACATTTACACCGACATCATCCTAGTGCAAAGACAAGTGGAAGCAGACAAAAACAACAAGCAGCATGCTACAAACTTTACCCGAGTCATTTAGACAGCCGTTAGCACATGATTCTCTTATGGGGACCTGATATGTTTAATATGCTGCTGAGAATATAGCCCAGAAGAAGCGTATAGTATAGCTTTTATTTTGGAAAGAGCCATTTCTCTGTAATAAACTCTCTTTTCCAAAGATGAGTGATTCCTCAATCAGATACAGGGGCAAAATCGCCGACATCCCGATTTTTCCAGTCGGGCTACCAAAATCTATCTCTGCCCTGCCCGTCGGGCTATCGTAGGAAGGAAAAATATATGTCAATGGTTTTGCATTCTTTCGGAAATGTAGCTGGGTAATTATGTCATTGGCATCGGTGAGCCACTGTCAATATGTGACATATTGAAATCGCGTTTGAATTTGCGCTTGTTTTTTGCTTTCACTTTGCAATCGCGCGAACTGTGTATAGAGAGCGACAGCACTGATTGGTGAGTGATGATAATTTGTGCACCAATTCCTCTGACATCGTCTTATCAATTGTTAGCTTACTATGCAAACATGACAAGTGAAATCTCCCGCAGCAAGCTTAAACATGTGAGAGGTTGATCGCGCAGAGAATCGCTGAGCGTTATGTGAGTGCGTGTGTAAAAGCAGCAGGATACATATTGTAGCGGGTCAGGGCTGTTCGGGGTTCTGTTTGTACAGTTATGTTTTGTTTATGTTGCCATAGTGACGGGTGACGCCCTCTCGCTGCGACGGTGTGTCCTTCCGGGGTCAGAGGGCGCCCTGTGTGTTGTTGTTGTTGCTGTGCTGTTGCCGCGCTGAGCAGTTAGCTAGCGGCAGTGTTCTTCTGCAGATGTCAATAAACGGCTGTGCTCCCTGGCTAGCTCACGGGAAGCAAGACCAAACGACACCTCCGTCTCCTCCTTGTCTGAGCTCGCCACATTGGTGTCAGAAGTGGGATGATGGTGGCACCCCATGTTCTGACCCGAGTGACTTTTCCCCCGCCGGTCGTGACCGGCCGGTGCGCCAAAAGAAGGCACCTGGACATTTGCAGGACTTTGTGTGGGGTAATGGGGTCGTCGGGGACGACTGACCCCTTAGGTGGGGGCTATGTAGCGGGTCAGGGCTGTTCGGGGTTCTGTTTGTACAGTTATGTTTTGTTTATGTTGCCATAGTGACGGGTGACGCCCTCTCGCTGCGACGGTGTGTCCTTCCGGGGTCAGAGGGCGCCCTGTGTGTTGTTGTTGCTGTGCTGTTGCCACGCTGAGCAGTTAGCTAGCGGCAGTGTTCTTCTGCAGATGTCAATAAACGGCTGTGCTCCCTGGCTAGCTCACGGGAAGCAAGACCAAACGACACCTCCGTCTCCTCCTTGTCTGAGCTCGCCACAATATTTTAGTTCTGCTGAGCCAAATAAGACAGGTCAGGGTGAAGAAGTGACAGCCAAAGAAAAGCTTACCACAAAACGGAAAAGTTATGACAAATCAGACTATAAGGCAAAAAGAAAGTGCAGCTTTATGGTTTCATGGACAAAAGAATTTCTGTGGCTGCAATATGACAAGCGAAATAACCAGGGCTGCACATAAGTGGTCCGCAGGTGCGCATTCGCTGTCAAAATAAAAAACGGGCACAAGATAAGAAGTTGCAACGCGTGTTTGCATACATAAGATTTTCAGGAGGAGGACAGACATTTGTTTAGAACTCTTAAAGATGTCGAAGAAGCAAGCTCCTTTAAGCAATTACTGTGATGTTCCTCCACCTCCAAAGAAATGTCAGAAGGAGTCCGAACCACAAAAGAAGCACGTATTCTCGGAAAAGTAGTTGCAGGAGGTGAGCTGGCTTCAAACAAATGATGAACGCACAGAGATGTGGTGCGGAATGTGCCGTGAAAATTTAATAAATGACAAATTAAAAAGGCATGAACGTTTTTTTTTTTAATCAAAAAAAATATCGAACCGTGACACCAAAGTATCGAACCAAACCGAACCGTGAATTTTGTGTATTGTTGCACCCCTACTATCTATTCTTATTCAAGAATAAATGTGCAGTTAACATATGATATTGGGACATCAATCATACCTGTGGTGCTGACAGTGAGTGTAGCCAGGGCCCAGCGGAGTCCCAGCATGCCTCTGTACTGTGAGCAGAGTCTCTGCAGGCTGTACTGCACCAGCTGTCTCAGAGACTGCGGCAAGTCCTGCAGGCTCTCCTTCAGCTAGGACGCAAACACAGAAGCCACTTTCACACATGAACTCCAGACAATGATGTACAAAGATGCCTTTTCTTAAATATAGGATGCAACTAGTGTGTACATAAGAAGCTACCGCTGCACACAGGAGGTGGCAGGATAAAGGGCAAACAGGTAAACAACAAATTCTCCTGGCAGTTGGTTACTCTAATGGACTACTGGACATCACATGGTATAAGGAGCCGGCAAGTTGAAGACCGTTTAATGTGGGAACAGATATGGAGGCTTACAATGAAGTCTAAAGTTTAGAGGAAATGTATACCAAGCAAAATAATTCGCACAACAGTTCATTTGCAGTCAAGCAGATCCTGCACTGGTTTATTGTGGAAGAGAGAGCTGAGTGTGAATGTGTCGATTTACTGGTTAAATTACTTTTCTACCCACCTCCATGTTCCTATATGTAAAATTAAATAAATATTCAAGTATTTTAGTAATCTTCCACCAAACACTGTATTAATAATATTTCAGCATTTCTTTATTACCTTTATTGTAGTTACGTGTTAGATTAAAATTGTCACATAAATTAAAATACCAGAGAGAAGGGGGCTAAAGCAGTGAGTTTGAACCTTGTCAAAAGAAGCAAAGTTCCTCAGGTCTTCACAAGCCAGGTGCAAGTAAAGAGGACTGACTGCTCCCTTCTTGGATATTAGTGTCTGGAGCTGGACAAACACACACAAGCATGACATAGTGTAAAGATGGATATAAAAGACAAATTTAACCATCCAGAGAATGTTTTGAATTCAAAGATATCATAAGAAGAACCTGGTTGTTGAAAGCAGAGTCGCTGAGTTTCTTGCCAAATGCATCCAGTTCCTTCTGAACGATCTCCTTTCGGTCTGGCAAGGTAAGCTGTCCCAGCGTAAACAGGAGCGTCCCTTTTTTCTTGGTTAGTGTTTGTAACAGAGCTGCTTTAGACGTGATGCTCACCACCAAACAGACACCCTGTTAAGACCAGGATTATTTGAGATTAAGTGCAGTTAAAACTGAAACATAACGAAAGTAAATAAATGGATGAGCAGCCCTGCACATTACACATATAAAAAAAAGTTTATGAAGAAAGGGATGAAAAAATTATGGAGAGTTTATCGCCTGCACATAAGATTTCGTTTTTGCAGGTCATCAACTTTCAAATATTTTAATGCAAAATAAAAGTTGTGCACACCAGAGGATAAAAGGATCTATTTGATTAAGATGGGCTGTATCTGAACTTATAATAAGTAAAATTGCAGCAGGTCCCTTGAAATAAATGTATCCGAGTTGCAAATCTTTGATATTTTTTTTATGTGTGATGAAGCACCTTTTCTCCCCAGGTGACCCGTGGAAGCTGCTGTGGGATCCAATCAGAGCTGACCTGACCTCTGCCATCCTGGACAAGATCTGCCCCATCAACTAGCAGCACCAGAGGTTTGTTCCTCTTTATATTACTTAATGTGGAGTGAAACTCTGACAGCAAATCTCTAAGAAAAGGAAAAAAAAATCGGTCATGAAACAGACAGCTGGAAACCACTGTAAGGGAACAGATTACATGACCAAAAAGTTACTTACTTATACGAGTGAGGAAAAGGCGATTCCTCCTCTGTGCCCTTTATCTTTCTCAGCCACTTAACAAGACATCGAAGGAGTTTTTCCACAGAGTGTGCTGATTGGCTGGCGGCTGTAGAGTAAGAGATTACATCGCAGACGAGGTTTTTCCTGGACTTAACTCCAGTCCTGAGGGCCTCAGCTAGAGCAGCCTGTGTGTGGAAACAATAAATATACATTTAAGCCAGAATATATTTGACCATATGAGCTCTGAATACCAGCTCAAAAGATAATGAAACAAAATAAAAATATCAAGATACAAAGTTCGAGTTGAGGGTTGGGTGTGAAATTTATGGTTTTCGGGGTTTTTATGGTTATTTTTTTAATCCTTTTTATCATTAACTCTGTTTCCTTGGGTCTTTTCCCGTGTGTTATGAATAAATCTTCCTTTTTTTGATACCGGTACTGGTTTTATTTTGCTGCATTTATCTGCAACACCTTAAAGGCCGGTCCGTGAAAATATTGTCGGACATAAACCGGTTCGTGGCACAAAAAGGGTTGGGGGCCGCTGCTCTAAAAAGCCTGCTTGAAAAATTAGCTGGAAAGTAAAGACTAAATAAGTACGTGAACTCAAACGCATTTCTTTTCATTTCTGTTCATCTGAAAATGTTTGGCCTCTTATGATAATTGGGATTGCCTGGTAGAGAGAATGAAACCTTTCCTTACCTAAAAGGTTACAGGTTAAAAATCTAACTATGTGTTTTTAGAGATTTTGAGCTTGAGTCTTTGAGAAGTGCACAAGATAATAAATGACTGTTGGCTTGTTATGCAACTTGGAGAGGAAACTCCCAATCAATTAATCAATTAGTTACAAGCAAAACTGCCAGAAAATCTACCTCGTTCTAAAACATTCAAAAAGTTCAGACGCCATAATCAATTTTGATGCCTTCATGTGGTGTTTCTTTCATTATATCCACCTCCTACACGTGCAGCAGGTTAAAAGTCTTTCAGAAATTTACCATGAAGACAGTTTTTCCTTCTCCAGGTCCTGCCTCCACCACAATCATCCCTCCTTTGGTCTGGGCCTGCTCCACCAAATCCACAGCGTTAGACAGAAGCTTCGACCTGCCAAAAAACTGCCTCTGCATCGCCTCCTGGTGGACCTCCTGCTCCAACACCTCTGATGCAGCCTCAGCCTCCTCAGCCTCCTGTGAGATGTGTAATTATGAAGTGTTTATTGAGTCGATTAGTAAGGTGCAGCATTGAAGAAAATCTAAGAATAAAGATACTGAAGTGGATCATATCAGAAGATTCTACCTCTACAAGCAAAATAGCTCATCAGAGCTTATCAGACTCACGTCGACAAACAGCTTTTTGACAGCCATCCAAAGGTCCTCCAGCACAGCGTTGCCAAAGTCCTCCAGGTTTTTCAGATATGGTTTCCCATCCACAACGCCTCCCCACTCACACGAATAACTATACCACAGAGAAATTTAGTGAAATGTGACTTTTTCAGGACTGAAAAGCAGGAACAAAACAAGTTAATTTTCTTATTAAATTTAATTTAAATATTTAATTTATCCAATAGAGATCCGAACAGAAACCTGGACATTTCCAGGCGACTCTGTTCATATAAAAGATGTCCTTTATGACTCTAATTTGACAATAATTAACATCAACACATCAAACTTATCAGTTATTTATTATGGTCTGTGGGGTGAGACACATAAATAAGTAAATTACAACTGGTGCAATTTGCAGACCTTTTCCCTACCTGCTCATCTTTTAAGGCTTTTAACTTTGGTACAAACATAACATTTAAGACCAAAAAACAAAAGCAGAGAGCATACAGTGAAAGAGCATACTTTTAAACTACTTAGATTATGGCTTTAGTGCTATAAGCATGATTGAGACGACTCACTTTTCTGTGACCTTGACATCACTGGACAAGAGTCTTCCCTTCAGAGAGGCCATTTTATGTGCAGCGTCCGTTGATTCAGGAGCAAAATGTGATCTCCAAGCCACAGGAACTGAACTGAACACCAATAGATATACTGGATAAAGTAATGTGATGCATTTCTGCTATACTGCTGTTGGACTGCTATACTTAAATCAACTCCCAAAAAACAAAAACCCAACATGTATAAAATGTATAAAAACATCAAATTAAAATACATACTTGATGATGTTCGGATCTCTAAAGTAGCAAAGCATTCGCTGGTGTGCTACGTCGGGATAAAGAGCCTGAAACTGACGGATTTCCATCTCTGTGATGGACAGACCTGCTGGGGCTGAGGCCAGCTGCAAAGAATACATTATTCATCTTTCAGTTCAACTCAGATTTATAACTTAAAACAAAAGTCATCATTAAATTTAGTTTGTACATCTTAACATGTCAGGTATGTGACACATTTATTGTTATGCTTGATGTTTTTGTCTCTAATGTTATATGTTATGCACTACTACAGCACTTTAGGTTTCTTAACCTTCATGTAATCACTAATATGAATGTTCACGCGTTTCACAATAGTTGTATAAAGTTATTAAACACCTATTGAAGTAACTATCATCAATGAAGTTAATTACTGTGCTAATTTATCTCCTTGAGCCTGGTTCTGCTTGAGATTTTTTCCCTGTTAAAAGGGAGTTTTTACTACCCACAGTCACTAAGTTCGTCCTTATAGAGGATCAGGTGCTTGTTGGTCCATCCATGCATTCGCTTACGCTCATCCCTTTCAGGGTCAGCTGGAGCTTATCCCAGCTGTCTTAGGGCAAGAGGCAAGGTACAGAGCCAGTCTGTCGCAGAGCTAACACATAGACAAAGACCTCAATTAACCTAACCCCACTAAGTGCATGTCTGTGGACAGTGGGAGGAAGCCAGAGTACCCAGGGAGAACCCACGCAAACACGGGGAGAACATGCAAACTCCACACAGACTCTACCATTGACTGATGGTAGAATTGAACTCAGGACCTTCTTGCTGTGAGGCAACAGTGCTAACCCCCGTGCCACCGTGCTTGTTGGTGTTTCTTTGTAATATTTTAGGGCCTTTACTTTACAATATAAAGCACTTTGAGGCAAACTGGTTCTCACAGAGACTGCCTTTATAATATGTTGCTCTTGTTATCTAAAATTTAACATCTAATTTTATATGTATATAAATATGACATAAAGTAAGTTGTTAGTAAGATAGTTGGTACCATTTTCTACAAATGTTATAATTCATGTAGGCAGAAGTCTGGTTGTTTAATGTCTGGAATATAGGATTATAATTTATTCTTGTATTGTTAGACTCAACTGTCATTTCCTTAATTATTACAAAGATTTCTTCTAAAAGATCATAACTTAATCCATTTAAGTTTAGTGTCGGTGTGACAGGTTTGGTCAGAATATTTTTCTGTTTGTTCTGTACTTTCCAGTATTTTCCCAGTCACATTTACAGAGCTTGTCCTGTTACGTCTGTTCCATAAGTCTTACCCAGCTGTACTGTGGGAGGTCTGGTAGGTCAGGTTTGGGGGGCACATGACCGTATCTCTCCCCGAGGATTCCCACCAGCATCTGGCTGCGACACACCTCTGACAGGCATAACTCTGAGGCCCGCTCAGACTCCTCCTCTGTCACACCCCAACGCAGTTCTACCTCTTGCAAGTAGAGGCAGTGTGGTGCAGCGCGCCGGCGTAGCTCTGGGAAGACGCTCCGCACCAAGATGTCGCGTTCAGAGTGCATGTCTCTGAACGTGGAGGAGATGAACACCCGCACACCTTGCCATCTGAGGATGGAGGGAGGAACTACAGTTAAACTAATGAGGAGAAATAGGGGGAAAAAAACATCTTAAAATGTAAAACATACCTTAATTTTGGGCTTGTTGGTATTGAGACCACATTGCTCGTGGTCTAAGAGTGTTGACCCCCCTCTGGTGGAGGAATGTTATATAATTTGTCCAAATGCTCCACGTGATCGAGCAGCCTGGAAGATCCTCTCGCTGCCACAAACCTGGTCAAATAGTGAAAAAAAGGATTGGGGGGGGAGATATTTATTGATTGATAACTATAAACTTTTGTTGTATCCATACAATAATATGCAGCTGGTCATCTTAGCTTAGCAACAACTAGAAACAAAGGAACACTAAAGGCAGGTTCTGTCTATGGGAGGGGCACACTTTAGGTGTGACCAGCTGCCCCTTCCACTTCATCACTGGACGTTCCAGTGGAAAAACCTTTTTTAAACCTTATATTCTGTCATTACATACAATAAAAATCCTTATAAGCTTTGTTAATCTCCTCCAAAACTTATAAGGATCCTTTTAAATTGGTTTAACTGCTGAAAACGTGCAGTTTTCACGCAGGATGAAAATAAAAGTTCATTTAACTTATGCTTCCTCGAGGTGTTTCCAGATGCCTGTGATGTGGCAAAACCTGCTTCCAGAAGCACATTGACAAACATCTTCAACAGTGAGTGCTCAGTACAGGTCCTAGCTGGAGTTTTACGATGTTTCTTCCCATATATTTTGCATCTTTCCACTGTAACTCTAATAATAGTGTTGAGATAATGGCTTAACAGAGTAACCTGCTGCTATTATTATTAGTTTTTCAGGACATTAAACAAATGTGATTACATTTTACTCAAGAGGCTCTTTTTCTCCAGCTTCGTGTTAAGCTAAGCTAACCAGCTGTTGATTCCAGTTTCACACTCAACCAAAAAATATAGAAGTGGCATCAATGGTTTCATTGTGGCAAGAAAGTAAATAATCATATTGGCTAAAAGATGAACGATGACTAAACATCAAGTGAAATAAACACTTGTTGTTATCAGTATTATTATAACACCTTGCTGTGCCAATGGATGCAACATTTATATCGTTTATATGAATAAAAAAAAAAGATGCATTTTACCTCAGCACCTGCTCACTGAAGCCTGTCAGCACTATGTGGTTCCTGTCGAGGGTTTCTGAGTTTCCATCACTAAAACCAAACATTGCAAATTATTGCATATTTGAGTTTTATCATCCCAGTGATGACTGTTTTTGCTGTTCCTGACAGAACAGCAAAAATAAATAAAAACAAACAAACAAACAAACAAACAAACAAACAAACAAACAAACAAAAACACCATTACCTATCTGAACAAATGTGCACTACAAGGGAACTGCTGTTTATTTCCGTCCTGTAGTTCCTGATGACAAAGCTGACTTCTGTACTTATCCAGGACTCAGACAGCACGATGATGTTGCTCGCCTGAGGTTTCAAAAGTATTTAAGTGAATTTAAGAAAGAAAGTTATGTGAGTGAACCTGAAAAGCAGGCAGAAAAACAGTACTGTGCCACCTTCTTACAGGAGCTGTAGATGCTCATCTGTGCCATGTACAGGCACGAAAGATTCTGCAACTGTAAAGCTCATGACCCATCCAGGCAATGAAAGTCTATTATTAAAGCTGCTGTTTGTGAGTGAAAGGAGGGAAGTTAACAGTAGGGATACAGCAGGATTATTTAAAAACTAATCATATTAAATATTTTTTTTTATAAAAATAGTTCAAAACGATATGGCAGAGAGTAAAAAAATACAGTTCAGAGAGATGTTAGTGAAAGCGTGAAACAGAAAACTGAAAGTGTAGGTGAAAACAACTCCTGTGTTACACCTCTGCAGGCAAACGCATCATCACAAACTACACATGAAAAATAAACTAACCTTTTTGCTCTTTAATATTCTGTCAAAGTAAGCTGTGTTACATTCTTCAGAGTTGTCTTCATAAATGTTCTGCAAAAGAAAGCAAACTTTATAGCAGTTTGCACAGTTGTCCTCTATCAACAACTATAAGTATAGTTTACCATGCTTGGTTTAAGAACAATACTAATAGCAATAATCTTCATTTCTCAAATCAAAAACAAATAAAGAATAAGATGCTATAACAGAATATGGACCTTTATTTGCTTGAGCACACTTCTGACATTTTCCAACAGGACATCAGACTTCAGCTTTGCTTCTTCCCACTGATTGGAATAAGTTATGCACAACTCACAATCCTCTGTACTGCTGGAGATCATCAGAGCGAGCAAAACTGCAACCTCTATCTTCTGTCAAGATACATGATAAATAAATGGGTGGAGAGGTTAACAGGTTCCGTCATTTTAATATGCCAAACTTTTTCCAGACACAAAAAAAATAAATAAATAAAAATATAGGGAGTTACACTTGGAGCGAGTTTGTCATGATCCTCGATATTAGTCTTCCTGCGTTTCGGTTTTGGGTTTTCTTCCTCTTTTTCTTCATTTTCTTGTTCCTCTGGGTCAGGAGGCAGGCAGAAGTCCAGTTTCTTGATCGCAGACTGATCGTAATAGATGCCCGGAGAGAGCAGGATGAGTGTCCGTCCAGGGAGCGGAGGCACGTTGTGACGACAGGAGATCTGAACGGCAGTTTCCAGAGCTTTACGGTAACGGTCCAACAGTGCAACAGTGTAGTTCCTCTGACTGCACACATACAGAAAACTTTAGTCTTACACTCTGTGCAGATTGATTCTTTTTCTCACTACCAAATACATTTTAATCTGAACAGATCTGCAACATAAAAACATTTTCAATGTCATTATAAGCAGTTTTGTGGCAGTATATAATTACATTTTCTTCATGTGATGCTTTTGTAACCTGTGCATCACTGCAAAAGCAAATTATGTATAGAAAACATCCAAACAATGCAGTGTAAAGATTAGCAAACCAGGATTGTTTTTTCGTTTGTTTTTTCCAAATTAACTAAAGCTAAAAGGAAAAGTAATTATCACCAACTCAAAAATAACATTCACATACTTGGCTTTTATGAGCTGGGCCTTCTTCATTCTATACATTCGAGAGATAAACGGCACCCTGAGTGTCAGCCTGATCCTGCTCTTTTTAGTCGTTTCCCACGTCAGCCGCTTTAAGCGCTGGCTTTTGGGAATCTTCTTCAGGATGTCCATCAGGATCTTGTTGGCAGAGGGTAGTTGTTGCTGTACTGCAGAGGCTAAAAGAAAAAAAGATTGAAAGGAGAAGTGCTATGTGTGTTTTTTTGTTTTTCACAGATGTTTACACCTCATCTATGGAGGGTTATGTTTTGTGTCATTTTGCTGACATATTTTAGTTTAAAACTGGTCACATAAACTTAGCAGAAAAAGTATGAAAATTTGTGTGGCCGATTAATTCTTAGTTGTAACAATGCTCTTGGCAATAAATCTTAAACTGTTGGAAAGCCTGTTTATTTCACTTTAAATGGTCCTATTTTTGTAAGGAAAATGTATTTGTGGGTTGAGCAGCAGAGTTGAGTAACCTCCCAAAATTTCTCTGCTAATCACAAACAGCTTATTCTGCTATTGACTCTTGCTTGGTGTAGTTTATTGGATTGGATGCCTGAAGTTGATTCAGATTGTAAACTCATTACTTACAGTCCACATGTTGCAGACATCAGTACAATTGGGCCTAACAGTAAAGGGCAGACATGGCAGCCCTCTCAGACTAGAGACTGGCTGTTCCCAATTGGCCCCCAAGACTGTAGAAGACTGCCTACAGTTCCTAGTGCTGCCAGGATGAGGAAACTGTCTTCCTGTGTTGTTGTCTTCTTGGGATGCCCTCTTCATGGCCCATCTCTGACATCCACCGTTGAAACTTAGCCTTCAATTTGGAGATGGTCCTAGGGCTCACTTCAAATAATGCTGCAATTTGGTTTTGGGGAGTAAAAGCTTGAAGTTGCCCTATAGCACAGGCCCTAACCAGATCAGAACTGATATGAATTCAGCAATTGCAATTCCATTGTCAATATCAATTATCAATTTGATTTCTTAGTGATTTTCATTGGCTCTGCTTTGAGAGCCACCACCATCTCTAAGCAGCATGTCAAAGACATTGCATTTTTGCAAATAAATTGCATGCTCTGCGGTCAAATGTTTGTGAATGTTGGAGGTATTTGCTGTCTTCGTTGTAAATGGTGTTGTGATCATTATTTAAAAATGTAATGTATTACACATATCACACAGAACACTTTTCTTTAAAGTAATGCAGTGTGTTACCTTCTCCTGTGAGCAATTAAGTAATTCATTATACTACTCGTTCCGTTAGTTTCGTGCAACTTTCATGCTGAAACGCACTGTCACATAATAACCAGTTAATAGCATAAACCTTAGCCTAGAGCCCCACATACAAACACAAATCCCTATCCTAATAATGACACACATATGATTTTCTTTTAGTATTTAAATATGAACACAAAGCAATGATGAAAACCAGCAGAGATGACCACAGTAATTCTACTGTAGAAACAAAAACCAATAGAAAAAGAGGCTGAAGCCTTACGGCTTATCAGTGAACTTGTTGAAGTTCAGGGTCAGGCTGCTGGGCCTGTGTTGACATTCACTCAGCTTTAACATCACTGTGGGTTTTTGAATAGCTTAGTGTAAGCATGCTCTCAGCGCAAGTGCTTGAAATAAGTTGAGGTTCTATTAGCAGCATAATGCAGTTTCCACTTTACCATCGTGCTCTCATCCTTTTGTGCAATAAAAATAAAAGCAAGGTCCATATCTACGCTGCAGACTGCGCCAATCTTTTCCTTCTTAGACACATGAACTGAAATCAGCTGATAGCAGGGGAATTGATAGGCAAGCAGACTAACAGTTCCAGGAAATTGGACTACTAGGAACCGGTTCTTTACAAGAGCTGGTTCTTGATTCCCATCCCTAATATAAAGGTGCCAATTAATCACCTGATTGAACAAATTTCAAAACAAATTTCCCACCTGTGGGACTAATAAAGGTCATCTTATCTTATCTTGGCAGAGTCAATAGCAGTCAATTGGCAAAAAAAAAAAAAAAATCCCAAATATCCCAGCTGTGACTGTAGGGTCACCCCGCCTCCCCTCACATTACACCCAATATTTGATCCAAATTATACATTCCAATGAATCATCTAAATTTTAGCCTATTTGATGTAATATAGACTAATACTGATTTAATAATGAATATGGAAC